AAGGAGAGGGGCCCAGGAGAAGTCCACGACACACAACAACTAGCGTGGGAAGACTGCAAGCAACACTTCTCTGAAGAGCCCTTTTTAAGCCCTCTCTCTGTCTCTGAGTACACACTGTCCAGCCTTATCAGGCTGAATTCTGACTTAGTGGAACCGTCTGTTGTTGAATTCGACACTGGCAACAGAAGCGTTGGCTTTCCGCGTGGGAATGTACCGATACTGACCATGTAGGAGCTGTAGGTCGGGGAGGGGAGGCTGTAGCGTTTGCTAATAAATCGACAGCTGTAGGAATATGGCTCTCATGTGCTCTCTGTCTGCCCTTAGAATACGTAGCAAATCACACTAAAATCTAACTGAAAGTACTAGTTTAAATTTAAAAAAAATATGTGCAGCTAGGCGCGGAGGCAGACAAGGTTTGCAATGCGAAATGATTGACAAGCTAGCCCCGTTCGTCCCTCAAAAAGAACTCACCAATTCGATGACCAGCCGCCGAAGACATTGACGAGGCTTCGTACCCAGACTTGCAAAGATATCGCAACCAGACTCTGTGAGCAGCTTGAAGGCAACAGATAGATGATGGTTCTCCAGGACGGAAATGTCGTTGTAGAGGAGGGCGAGTTTGTGTCCTGTGGCGGGGGAAAACGGCAAAAAGAGTAGCAGTTCCCGGTTAGAATGTGATCGACAGAAGGGTAGGCGGAGGAAGAGATAAGTCCGAGGCAGGAAATTAGGTTCAAATAATTTGACAGTTAGTTTTATCTACAAGTTCTTAGTCTGGGGGCATAATACAGAAACGCTTTGCACGCGTAAGCGTGTGTATTAGGAAGCCTTTTTACTTCACTAATAATTTCAGACTGACTCAAATATTTCCTGTCTCGAAACGATTGGCAAATCTCTCAAATCAAACCGGTGCAAGTGAACAAGTTGTGCTACCCGGCGGACCTGGATTAGAAGTGTAACTGGCCTGCTATGCGAATTAAGTTGTGAAAATTGCTAGTCCTCCATGTGATGCATTCTACAACGCAGGTAAATTTTTACCCCGGTCCTGGTTGACCTCTGCTTGCCAAAACTTGAACGAAAGCTCTGAATAAATTACTCTTACTAGATGAGACATCTCATCATCCCGATGATATAAACGTTACAATTTCATTGTAATGCCAGCTTCATGACTGAATGTATAAGGTGTAAACAGTTCAATTCTAGCGCACCTGGTAGACTCAGACCATCGCGT